AAAAATGGCAGTATATGTGGGTATGCATCTGTATTTATTTAGACACACATACATGGCTCTGTAAACACCCTAACACTTCTACAGAATTTTAGAAGACCAAGATCCACATGTTGGCAAACACTGGACTGTATCACAGAACATGACCCTAGTTGCTGGCATCCTTATCTCCAGCTGTGTCTCCTCCATAACAATAGCCTTAATCTCTAACATGTAAGCCTTCCTTTACCTATCTTTAATTCTTTCCTCTTCCATTTAGAATTATAGACTCTTGAACCAAAAAAAAAAATTTTTAGAGCCCATCTAATCTAATCCCCTCAGTTGGTTCTTTGAGATTGAAAAACTAAACAGTAACTATGATCCTCAACTTTCAGTGGACAATTCCAGGGGGACTCAGCAGCATTGGAGAATAGAATGCAGAAATCTGTCACGCTAGATTATAACCCACAAGTCCAATCAGTTGTTTAGGCCAGAGTCCTAGAAGCAGATTTTGAGCAGTGAAAGCTTGCCACCACTTGCGGGCTGTGGGCTAACACGTTAGTGGTATTTTTTTCCTAGGCCCTTGCCAAGCCTCATTTGTTAGACTATGTACAGTCACATGGTAGAGACCCATTCTTAAGGGAAAAATAAAATACAATCACTCTTGAAAATTCTGAATTATTTTCAGTGGGGCTGGAATGGAGAACCTCATTTAATTAGCAAGTGCAATAAAGATGTGACATTTAAAAACAAATTATGACACATTTCCATCCTTCACTGGTACACTGACTGGTGATATATTTCTCTTTTATGGTTGCCATTTCAAAGTTTTAATTGCTTTGGCTTAATTGGTTTAATCCAAATCCAGAAAATGTCAATTCAGTAATTACCCCTGTGCTATTAGAATCAGATTCATTTATTGAGCAAAAGAAAATTGACTTCAGAAAGGGAAAAACAATTACAGTGTAATATCAGGGGAAATCTTATACCATTGGGGTATCATGAAAACACATTGCATATGACTGCAACGGTTTACTATACAGGAGCAAAATAAAATGTTCTTTTTTTCAATTCTAAGCAGTAATTTACCAAATAAATACTAAGTATAAATTAGCTAATCCAAAATCACTTTCATTCATTTAGAAATGTATTAATTCATTTGGAAACTATCTGTTTAGTGCCACTTATATGTCAGACAAAATAATTATGTATTTGCTTTCATAGAATATAATAGGTGAGAAAGAACAATAACACAAATCCATATATAATTACAAAATATGGTAAATATTAGATGAAAAATTACAAGGTGCTATGTGAGTATACAGAGCCTTGGTGGTATGCTAGTTTAGTGCTCTGCTGCTAACTGAAAGGTTGGTGGTTCAAACCTAGCAGCCACTCTGTGGGAGAAAGATGTGGCAGTTGACCGTAAAGATTACAGCCTTGGAAACCCTATGGGGCAGTTCTACTCTGTCCTATAGCGTCATTATGAGTTGGAATCAACTTGACAGCAATGGATTTATGTGGGTGTATCAGGAACTGACTCGTTGACAATCTGAGTTGAGAGATGAAGGACAAAATAGCTAGGTGGCATTGCAGTAGGAAAGGAGTATTTCATGCAGAGGACAAGAGCACAGCACATTTCAGAGACTGAAGGAAGGGCCAGCGTGGCCAGAGTTCAGAGAAGAGAGAAAATGGTCCAAGATGAAATGGATTGGTTAGCAGGGACCATTTTCAGACATACTCCCATCTGCCACCAGATTTAGGCCACTAGATATGTGTGTTCTTCCTGGCTGGAGAACCCGCCTTCCAAAGCTTCTCTTCACCTGGTCAACAACTCCTCAAAATTTAGGCCTTGACTCAGATACCACTTTATCTGGGAAGCACTTATCCTTGCACTGACTGTATTCCAAATACATAGGACAGCTTCGAACATGTATTTCATTATTTGAATGAATTGAATACGTGAATCAAGAGAGACCTGGACAGTTTGACAGTACTGCCTAAGGTCACACAGTTTTGGACTGTAGAGTGAGAAGATGCAGGCCTCCTGCCCCAGTTGCAGTGTTGCTTTCCCTCCATCATGCTAACACCTGCCTTACAATCTCAATTGCATTAGCTCTCTTCATTAAGTCTTAGAAACATCCTCTTCATGTGGCTTCAAAATGCTACAAATCTATACTATAGGTTACGATTCTTACACCTAAAACAGACAAAGCCTTCTTGGGCTCCTCTGGGAAGCAGTAGCCTAGGCTCCTGTGCTCCTGTGGCACTCTCAAATGCTCCTGCAACGTTTTGCACATTGCTCTCCCTCCCCATGATACTGAGATTAGGACCATGCTGGATTCATTTTGCATCTTTGGTACCCAGAATATTTCTTAGTACAGAGTAGTACTTAATATTTGTTGAACTTAATGGCACCCCGGAGCCAAAAACATCCAAATAAGGACAACTAAAGTGATGTACGAGATGGCAAGAGAAAATTGATGCAAGAATAAGAAGGCAGTCTAAAATGATAATGGCTCTGCCATCTAGAGAAGGGAGTTTGAGAAAAGACATGGCTCTTGCTAAGGTAAAGAATCAAGAAGGTGATAGAGAAAATGGTGCCACTGCTGGCAATAAGTACCTCTCCTGGTATGTACCATCCCGCCTCTTTTTATTCAGGACAGAGAACTGGAGTTGGAAAAAAAGCAGCACTCACTTTCAGACAGCTAGACAATTAAGTAGGAAAGTTGACTCCTAGAGCGCTTTCTACACCTGCTCTGCTAGGAAGCCTACAGCTAGCTGTGGAGAAGCTGGTTTTGTTTTGCAGGTGTTGCAGGTTCCTGAAATGGCAGAATCAGAGTCAGCAAATCGTGATGGAAATAGAACTAAACTGGGAGCAGATATCTAAGTGTTAATCCTGGTCCTGTCCTGTGGCCTCCTGCAAGTTTCTGAGCCTCACCTTCCTCCTCTGTGAAATAAGGAGTTTGAACTAGATGGTCTCCAACAGTCCTTTCTGGTTCAGAGAGACTCCCATTTATGGGCTTGGCACGTGGATTTTCCTGATGCAGCTCCACAACCAAAGGTGAGAAGAAGACTGGCAATCTGGTTAATGCATGCAATGCAGACACCCAGACTCATCCTTTTGGCTCCTGTAACTTCACCTGGACTAGCTGAGGTCACATACCCATGACTATGTCCTTTCACCCACATGTGGTAAACACAGCCGAAAGCTTTATTAATAAAATAATAAAGATATGGGAAGGGTGTAAAGCAGTGGTTTACAAATACCAAATTCAGGAGGAAAATTTTTGAAAACACAAGTTCCAAAGCCTTGCCCAACATCTCCTGAACCAGAATCTCTAAGGCGAGCCCTAGGAATCTGAATTTTTTACAAAGCTCCTCAGCGATTGTCATAATCAATGATCATTTTCAAAGAAAAAGTTAGTGTTAATCTGTAGACCACTTTCACGTGAATCATCTAAGATGCTTGTTAAAAATATCTGCGAGTGGGGTGCTAGATTCTGCATTTTAACAATTATTTCAATGATTCCTACAAATACCAGCATCATCCATAAAGTAGTTTATGCTGACAAATGAAATTTTTATGTGGACAAACATTCAAGGTCTACCAAACAATATAGTAAATATAAGACCAGATTGTGAGCACAGGTTTATGTCATTATTAATATTTATATTACATTGTTCCATTGTTTTATTTAATCCTCATAATAAGCCTGAGATATAAGAACTATTATCCTTATTTTACAGACAATCTGAAGCATTAGAGAGTTTAGGTAACTTGCTCTAAATCACAAGATTAATAAATTTATGTACTGGAATTGAAAATTAATGCCACTTATCTAAGAACAGCCTACTTTTCCACAGAAAGTATAACAACAGTTTATTACACCTTCTAATGAAACAATTTGCTGAGATCATATCTGAAGAAACAAGTTAAAAATAGCCTCAGTTCCTGTTGGTTGGTTTTATTAACTACTACACAAATGCTAATGTCATTATAATAATCTTAGATTAGCCAAGATAAAGTGACTATTACCTACTAAGCAACAATGTCTCAGGGATTTCCTGGAATCATACAGTGATCTCAGGCAGTCATCATTTCTAGTCAACAACCTCCAAACACAAATATTTACAGCTGAGAAGCCCAGCATATGCTGTCCAAGGTCTCAGCTAAAAAGGGGCTCAACCAGCTGCAGACCTTAGTTACCTGGCTCTGCTTCACTGGTCTGTCTGTACACCATTAACCCTTGACTCTGTGCTCTTACATATGACAATTATTTGCTTTAGTGCTAGAATAGGACTTCATTAGACTTCAAATTTTCTTTCAGGAAATAAAATTAAAGAGGCATTTTTAGGACAAAGTTCTCTTCTCACTGGTTCCTCTAAATTCATTTAATATAATATGTTTGTGAAAAGGCGTGTTTGTCTTGTACTCTTAGTAAATTGAAATAGGAAGGTTCTCTCAGATTTCCCATCTCTGAGTTAACCAGAGTTGGGTACAGCACAATAATAGGTATTTCATAAATATAATGAAACTAAAAGGACGTTAGCTATTATGAGAGCTAGCTTTGATTTTTTTTTGGTTTACTAAAAGTGTTAACAAAAAATACTAAACTTGACCAAATCCATATACCTTTTAACAGAACACAAATTCTTTCCTGTGTTCACATTCTACACTTTTCCTCTTATAATTTGTGTTATGGACTTACAGAATATGTAGACAGAGATCTTTTCAAAAAGGGGAAAAATAATGAAATGACATCAAGAAAGTTAAATTGTTGAAAAATAAATAAAATATTCATTAGTTATAGATAGAATTGGTGAAGGTTTTATTTGAAGTTTTGATTTGTTTGTTTTGTTCTTTGAGGGGTGGCAGATTTTTGTGTATATTTTATTCCCATTCAAATTTTACATAACAACTCAGATTGTATAATTATATCCTGTCGAGGGTTTTAGAAGGAGCTATTTCTTTTACAAAATCAATATCTAATTTCCCAAATAAAGAAGAAAAGCATACTTACGAATCTCCTGGTTAATATCTGCTATTATTTCTAAGACAGGTTTGGAAAGAAATTCTGATAGACTTTCTTTCCTGCAAATTAAAAGGAAAACAAAAAACCTATGAAGAACCAGAAAAGCTGAAAATCGATTAAGATAATAAAATTTTAACTATCTCGGCTGTTTAATATTGAACTAAAACTGGTAAACACCATGACTTACCTGACTTTCTTGAGAACAGTGGAACCTCCAATATAACAACAAATTTTCTATTAAAAATCAAAGAGGATTCATTTCAAGCAACTGATACTAATGTCTAGGATTTCCTGCTACAAAGCCCAGTGGATAATTACAATACTAATGCTATTAAGGATCAATATCAAGTTGAGAAAATTGTCACCTAAAAATGACTGACCATTAAACACTTGTAGGCACAAAGAAATAACTAAGAAAATATTTGGCATAACTACACCTTTGGGAGGAGCCCTGGTGGCTCAGTGGTTAAGAGCTCAGCTGCTAACCAAAAGGTGGGCAGTTAGAATCCACCAGCCACTCCTTGGAAACCCTACGGGGCAGTTTTACTCTTTCCTATAGGTTCACTATGAATCGAAATCGACTCGACAGCACCGGGTTTTTATTACACCTTTGGGATGTTGAAGAAAAATGCTACTTTTCTGGAATATGACGTGGGAGAATCTTCTACATCTTTCCTAAGTGCCCTGAGGCATTGTACAAATATTCTCAGCATCCATGTGGGATCTTGTACAAGTAATCCAACCATCTTGCTCCTAAAACTATATACATATAATAAACTAAAACCTGTTGCCTTCGAGTTGATTCTGACTCATAGCGACCCTATACATATAATTCCTGTTTACAGAAGTAACCCTGTAACACTCGACACAAGAAGGGTGAAAAATAACAGGAGTATGAACCATCAGTATTCACATTAGCTACTCATGGCGACAAGGCACTTCACAAATTCCCTCTACCACACTCCCATTGTCCTAGTTCAGCCTGCCATCCACTCTTCCTGGACTATTGCAACAACCTCCTTGTACCCCTTGACTTCCTTGTCCTCATTCTTACTTTCTGCAAATCCGTTCTTTACACAGAGGTTAGGTGGAATTACTTCAAAGTAAATATACTCATGACCATTCTAAGAGTAATCCTTCACAGCCTTCCCACCACCTATGAGATAGCAGCCAAGACTTTTCACATGGTACGTGATGCCCTGAAGGAGCTAGTCCCAGTCTATTTCTCCATTTCACCCACACCCATCCTGCACTAACCCTGCAGCTCCTCAGTCACACCCAGCAGATGGCATTGCTGTGCCTTGTTGCTTGTGTGGCTGAAGTTCTTTGCCCCCAGTCCGCCACCCCCACCCTGCTCCGTCTCTGTCCCCTGATAATGTCTATTCATCCTTTCAGAGTCATTTGGGCCTTTCTTTCCAAGGTGCCTTCTTTGGCCCCCTCAGGTTAGGTAGGTCTCCTCCTCTGTGCTCTCGAACAATTCTGACATATCTCTATCATTGCACTGATCACACGCGCTATAAATTTCCGAGTAGTGTCTGCCTTTCCTTCCCCACTTCACACAAGTTTTTTAAAGCATTTTGAGGACATGGACTGTGACTCATTCATCTTGTCCCTAGCACACTGTTTCACACATGGTAAGAAGAATGCAAAAAATCTCAGTTGAATATCTAGGTGCACGAGGTGCTTTTCAGACACAGAGCTGCCTGGAAGCATACTTTATCACCTTGGAAGAATTTAAAAATCAACAGAGGACATCTTTTAACCTCATTCTTATACCCAGCTTCCCATGTGGTGTATGCTGTTCCCCTCACTCTGTATCTGGGACTGTTTCCCTCTTATTGAGTCCTATGTGTGCAGGCAGAATATATATAAGGAACCGAGAAGAGGAAGAGAAAAATAAATGAAGCAGCATCATAGGGGAAGCAGTAATAAAATAAAATGTAAAAACTTTAAACTTTATATAATACAATCCAAATAATGCATCCCTGAAAACACACTTTTTTAGCCCTAATTTTTTCAACTATTTACATAGAGGCCTTAGCAAACATCTAGTGGAAACTACAAACAGGTATCCAGTTAGAAGTCAGAAAAATTAGACTTTCTATATTTCCTTCTTTAAAGTGCATATTTAAACATCCTTATAATTGTTTTTTTTTTTTTTTTTGGCTTTAACAAAGAGAAATTTATTCTCTCACAGTCCAGTAGGCTACAAGTCCAAATTTAGGGTGTCAGCTCCAAGGGAATGCTTTCTCCGTTGGGTCTGGAGGAAGATCCCTGTCATCAACTTCCCTTGGTCTGGGAGCAAGCTTTTAAGACCCCAGATGCTACTCACCACATTGGGATGTAGAACATACACCCTATGAGCTATATTATGCCAATTAACTGAGTTGTCCTGCGAGATTACAGCCCTAAGCCTTCAAATCCAGAAAACCAATCTTGCAAGGTGTTTGGTTATGTCTAAGAAGTATCCATAACTGTGTCCCTTACATGGGTTATTATATATATAGATATACATGCGTGCACACACATACCTGTATGTACATATGCCTATAGATACATCTATCTGTGAACACATATGTATCCACATATTCATACCCATCCACATATATATCTATATACATATTAGTGTATTTTGGTTGTTGTTGGTGCTGTTGCAAAATTATATTTGTCATATTCTTTACCAAAAATATCCTTTTCTCTCGTGCGCATCTTAGTGACATCATTTACCTTGGTCAAGCTGTGTACACTTCACCCACATTCGATGCTACCTTTCCCATCACCAGAATAAACATCCTTATAATTTTTATACTTTCCTTGATTAAATGTTTGTTCTTACTTTATGAATTTCTACCTGTCTCTGTCCTTTCCAATAGAACAAAAAAAGAAGAAGAAATATAAGAGGACTGAAATAGTTATTTTTCCTTCCTCACTTTTTTGAGCTTATGACACATGCAAATATAATGATGCAATGGACTTTGACAATAGTATTTCATACATAGTTTTGATTCCACATATACATCAAAATTCAAATTTACAGGGGATATGCTAAATACAAATGCTCTGTAGGTGAAGAGACTAAGAGAGTCTCTCGTTATCCTTTAAGTTATCAATTATCAAAAATTTTACTAACAAAATTATAGTACTTCTTGAAAAGGTTTCAAGAATAGTGACATATCCTTAACCAAAAAAAAAAAAAATTGTGCAGACATCCTCAGTACACGTATATTTATTTTTGTAAGTTATAAGAACTACTATACTAAGATACTAATAGAATGTATGTGCTATAAAATACATTAACAGAAATTAAAAATATGATAAAAATAAATATATAATAGGTATTCTAATATGTTCTTCCTAAACTTAAACATAAGATGCAGTATTTGCAAGACCTTGCTACCATACAAGTCTAATTCTCTCTCCACTACTTCTACTGGGACTTCAATTAAATCCAGAGAAAACCTGGTAATATTCGTAGTAGCTAAGAGGTATCAACAGTACTGGTGACACAATGGTTAAGCGCTTGCCTGCTAACCGAAACGTCAGCAGTTCAAATCCCCCAGCTATTCCACGGAAGAAAAGGCGATGTGCTCCCATGAAGATTGCAGCCTAGGAAACTCTATGCGGCAGTTCTGCTCTGTCATTATGTTTGCTATTAGTTGGAATCAACTTGATGGTACACTCCAAGAAATACCAAAGGGAAAAAGCCAGTGTTCTCACCACCAGGAGCAAAGTAAAGATGGTAGATCAACAGAAATCTATCGTATTAGAAATATACTCAGAAATCTTGAAAATCATCTAATCCAGTGGTTTCAAAGTATTATTTTTAGGCCAGGAATATCTATCCATCTATACGCATATGCATATACATATATATATATATATATATATATTTTTTTCCAAATGAACTTTTTAGCAGATGGCCAATATATAAGACAGACACAAGCAGAGCTGCTCTGGCTACTCAGGCTTTGGGTCAAATACTCTAACCACTTTCTCTCCCTCCTCTCCTCCTCCTCCTGGGGTGCAGTGTGAATACTGCCACACTGCCATTTCAGAGATGAGACTAATAGGCTGGAGATGGAATAAGAGCAGCCATTTCAACACAGAATGTGATAAAATAGCTAAAATTATTAGGTAGTCGTCTATCTTCGCTTTTAAATGAATATCCCAATCTGATCTCAGTTGTAAATGTAAACACTTAAAATATGAGCAGGTCTTCCCTGCTGGCACAAACAGTTAAGCGCTTGACTAGTAGTAGAAAAATTATTGGTTCGAACCCACCCAGAGGTGCCTCGAGAGTCAGGCCTGGCAATCTGCTTCTGAAAGGTTGTAGCCTTGAAAACCCTGCGGACCACAGTTCTCATGCACACGTGGGGTCTCCATAAGCTGGAATTGACTTGACAGCAACTAACAACAACAAAATATGAGCTGAAAGAATTAAGGTAATTTTCGCTTCCAGTGTTTGATAAAGTAATGAATCCTTATTTTTTCCTGCAAATATATATTTTCTAACTTGAAAGTTTTATTTACTCAAGCAGGAGCAATGTTAATGTGCGATAATTTGCATAAAGAAGAAGGGTCCAGCTCCCCTCAGGCGCAAAACTTCAGCAAGTGTCCAAAACTTCAGAAATCAAAATAAATAATATTTAATGCATTATTTTTAAAAATTTAAATTAATGCAAAAAATACACGATGAATAAAATACCAGATTTTAAAATAAAGACGGGATTTGACCCAGCTATAAGTCAGAAATGACTCGACGGCAGTGAGTTTCATTTTTTTTTAATTACACAATTTACAGGAGAAAGATGTGGCAGTCTCCTTCTGCAAAGATTTACAGCCTTGGAAGCCCTATGAGGCAGCTCGACTATGTCCTGTAGGGTGACTATGAGTCAGAATTGATTCAATAGCAATGGTTTTGGTGTTTTTTGTTTTTTTTTTTTTGCACAATTTTACCTCACACACTTCTTCCTAGCCCTAGTCATGGTCCAGAGACTTTTCTGAAATGAGGAAGAGCAAAACTAAAAGCTATTTCAGGTTAGTTGTATTACATAAATTT